TGAGGCAGGAGTGGTCTGCCACACCATGTGGGTCAGCTCCCTGGCTGGGGATTGAATTCATGCTGCAGTGGCTGCTGAGAGCTTCATAGCGCTGAGACTTAACCCTTTGTCCGATCCCAGAACTTTCTAACAGTCTAACCCAATAACTGGTATTTTATGAAAAATTAATAAAAAAGAAATTCTATTTTAACTAAAGACACACAGCTCAATTTATTCTTCCTGCCGCAATCTCTCCTCCACACCCTAAAGTGCCTCTGCTTGTTCCTTTTTCTTTCCCTTCCCCAGATCATGCAATCTGGCAACTATTTGAGAAGCACCCATTACATACAAGACATTGTACAGAGAAGTGTGGGGAGGGGTAGGAGGTTGAGCAAGAGATTGCTTCTCTACTAGACATCTGATAGAAATATACTGGGCAATTACTTAATTTACCAGCTGTCTTCCCCACTCCATAAACCTGTGTGTTAGGAAAGGGCTGTACTAAGAACTCTGGCTTCCTGAGTACTCTTTACAGTGTAAACTAAAAGTGGAGGTTCATATTCTCTGCCCCACCTTATAAAGGGTGGAGTTGAGAAGCAAGGGGAAGATAAAAAGGACTTGTTGGGAGAAGACCTAGAGGATGCTTGTGTTGCAGAGAGAGATGTATGAAGAACCTGAGCTTACTTCTTGACCTGTACCAGGGTATTAGGGTTAATGGATGGAGACTTCAAAGGATGTGGGTGAGACCCATGGGAAGACTGACAATGGCAGCCTTTACCTTTCTTCTTTCCTTCCAGACTTGCTCCTTCTGCCCCTTTCCTTTGGTTCCCTGCCAGAAAGTGCCTTAGACTTGTGCTGAAGACTCCCAAATTTGCTCTAAATAGGTCTCAGTAGCCCTGTTTTGAGCATTTGGTGTGGCATTTACTTATAAGGGCATGGGTAATTTGGGCATTTTACTGGAAACTGTCATCCCTTCTTTTCTCTATTGCACACTAATTCTATTAAAGTTCTTTTCTACTGAAGCTCTTACACACTAAGAATATGTTTTGTCTGGCAGATGGCAGAACCTATTTAGAGCGTGCAAGTTTTGGGGGTTAGGTACATCTCAGTCTAACTAACAGAATGATCACAGGCTGTGTTGGAGTGTGGCTCCGGTCATTACAGTCCTTCATTTGGAATGGGGGAAGGTTCTGCCCCAAGATCAGCTTCCCAGAGAATATGGGTATCACCCTCTAAACAATGGGGAACCCTAGAGAGACGCTGGATGGCCTTGGTTCCTGGGCTAAGAAGGGTGTTTCTCCTCTCACCAACCTCTCATTCAAATGCCTGTGTGGCTTCAGAGTCTGTTGAGTGTGGAAGGATGTCAAGGAGATGAACGACTCTCCCATTCCCCAGGTGAGATGCTATGCAGGATGTGCAGGCTTGGGCCACTGAGTGCATCTGTAACAGAGACATCTCCATTGTCAGGGGAGGTGCAATTTCCTGCCCCACTTAACAATGGAGGGAGCTGAGCAGTCAGGTCAAGCAGTTTAACAAAGAAGGTGAAGAGAGAGGGATAGACACATGAGTAAGGGGGCTTGCTTGCTTGTTGGGTTGTACGAGAAACTTGAGGGACTTAGAGGAGACAAGATGGAGGAAAGACATGTAGAAACACTAAGACGTGTGGGTGAAAGACCTGTGAGGAGGCTGACAATGACAGATGTTCTCTTGATTTGTACTTTGATTTTGCTCCTTTCTCCCACTTTCCAGGGTTGCCTGCCTGAAGGTGCCTTAAACTTGTGGCAGGCTTTCAGACCTCAGAGGCTTGGGGCCAAACCCTGTTTGGGCATTTACCCATGAAAGGAAGTGGTTTTGGGATTTTTACTGGGAAATTATTCTCCCTTCATTTTTCTGTCTACAAAGACTAATTCTGTTAAAGTTCTGTTACATTGAAAGTATGCTTTGTCTTTCTACAAAGGGGAGAGGAGTAAGATCAAAACTGGGGCAGGAAGAGCACATGGGGATATGGTGATGGCACATGGGTAAAGTGGTGATGCGAAGTCCACAGGGACTACGACCAAGATGAAAAAATGTACAAAGTGAAGAATGATGTAACATATATAATATTAAAAAAATATACAAAAATTTGTAGAAGGCAGGTCACTGTCAAATCACCAAATTTGAGAGGACCAAAATGAGGATTGAAATTGGAAAAAAATAAAAGTATGCTTTGTCTGTGTGCATGACGGATAACTGGATGCCTCTAGAGTGTGCCAGTTAGGGATACCCCTTGGTCTGCTTGCTATCACATCAAGTTTGATTCCTACCAAATCCAAACAGCACTCCCTTTTGAATGATGTTACTGTGCCAGCCCTTTCAGGCTCGAGTCTAACATTTGCTGGCCTTCCCAGAATTAAGATTCTAGACTCCAGAACACTTCACTAGAGTTGCTAAAGAGCACACATAGCACCCTGGACAGGCAGATCACAGCTGGGATGGTGAAAGGGAGTACAAAAATTGTACCTGAGCAGGACAAAAAGAGCCTCACCAAAAGGTGCAAATGACCCAGATGTCTATCAATAGCAGATTGGCTATATAGAAATCATGTGTTTAATGGAATACAACAGTCATTAAAAAGAAAAAAAAAGACACTTCACTATATATTACCACAAACAACCTCCAATCCTATTAAGCAAGGTGCAAACCATTCTGTCTTTCGACACAGAGTATCTCCACAAGTACTCTGTGTGAACTGATAGCAACCGGCAGTCCTGAGGACAGAGGGGTGGCAGACTTCATATCCTTCTGTATCTTTAATTTTCACATGATGAGATTATCTCTTCGCCAAAAACTATATTTGCCAAATAGAGGAAGAGGTGAGTGGCCTGCAATTCTACAGTTCAGTGCCTTATTTATCAGGCCAGCCAGCTTCCACCTACTCTGCCCTGATTACTTCTCACCTGGCTTTTGGTCAGCACTTGTGACTTATGGTTACAGTCTGAGAAATAAACTTCACCAAGTTTCTCAAGAGGAGAATGATAGTCAAATAGAGGAGATTTGACTCTGTAATTTTCCTACTTCTGCCAAACTGGGACTGAATTATGATCTTCTCAACCTAATATTAATTGTAAACTCCTAAACCTCTATAGAAATCTATCATGTTTTGGCATATGCTGGGTGTCTGGCAGGTATCACATAAGTTGAAAGGTGAGCAAGGTGACTGGTCTGCTATGTCTGCTGTGAGCTTCCCTGTGTACTGGTTGGCAAGAAGAGAAGATTCCTCACCTTTTCCCTCCCTTCTAAGGGGAATGAAGAGTGACAGGAGTGACTCTAAGATAGCTTGGAGAGTATGGATTGGGGTGCTGGACATTCCTGCCTCCCAGGGCTTCTGAAAACTGAGAACTGATTCAATCCTGGAAAAATTCAATGTGTAATCATGCTGATGAGAGATCCTGTCACCTGCCTACTCACGATTTAAGGGCTGGGTCAAGCCTCACAGGCCTGAGGTGCCACTCTGTCTGTTCCTGTAGTTCCCAATGCACAGGAAAAAGAATCTTCGGAGGCAGCATGGGGCAGTCACCACAATCCAACCTAAATATCTATTATGAGAACAGACCTTTCGGAACCTGACAGTGAATGTTCCTAAACTGCATTCCCCTGACCCTTCCTTGAATGCATCTTGTCCATCCTATTCAGGAGCCTAGGAGTTCCAGTGGATTATTGCTTCTCTGTCTCACTTTAATCTCATCTAAACATTAGCTTTAAAAGTCAGATTCAAGTTTATCCTCTTCCTTGCAACTTCACTTTGTGTAATTCCAATTACCACTTCACACAAGTTCTCACAGTTTCCAAAAATGTTTCTTCCAACAGTTTTACTTGATTCCCTAGGATGTGGGACCCTCAATCATGTGACCCTTCCACCAGCGCCCTTAACTCGCAAGCATTTCTCCCAAATCTAAGTTAACACTTCTTCAGTTGACTCAAACATAGGAAACCAGTAGATATGAGATAAAAGAATAGTTAAACTTCTCCAATGAAGTTGATGATAGGAAGGTAGGTCAGCGAAGGTTAATACAACAGAAGAATGCAAGGGAATTAATCCAACAAAGTGGCAATGGGGAAATGTCAAAGACGAGTCTTTGAGAAGTTAATCAATATACTTCAAAACTGTCCAAGACCATAAATGTATCTTGCCTGAGAAAAGAATTACAAAGAGGCCCATGAAGGAACACACTTCAGCTTTCAGCATTAAATTAAAAGTTACAAATGCTTAAGATTATTAGTGCCTATGTCAGCACTCTACTATTAAGCTTAAAAACACTTTTGTCTTTGCCTAAACAAAGTCATTCCATTAGTAGGCTGAGGAAAGAGTATAGTGCCTAAGAAAGAACAACCCTCACTAAAGGTACTAGCCAAAATCTTTTATGGATGTAAAGAATAATAGGTAAATCGAAGCAAACTGTCACAAATCACAATTACCTAGGGCATTCTGCATCTGGGAAGTAAACATAAGGCCCTTTAGATTCAACCAAACAGGCTCTGGGTTACTCAACAGCTTACTCAGGCTTAAACATTCCTACATTCAGGTGGAAAAGCTGTCAGTGATCAGAACTTCAGGCCCTTTGTTATGAAGTTCTTAGGCATCCTTCTATACAATCTTCACTCCTGGGTCACTCTGAAAGGATTGGCTGAAGCCCAAGTCAGGAAATTATGTAAAATAGGCAAACCCTCCATTTTCCTAACCCAGGCTCTGCTGTTCAGCATTTTTACTTACCTAGACTAGTCCACAGTATGGTATTTACCTTAGAACTAGAGGGGGAGAAAACACCAACTACTAAGCAGAAATCCTGGGGTGGAGGAAACTGCCTCTTTCAAGATGTACATCTCTTTGCACAGTTAACAGGTTATTATTACAAATCACGAAATCACTGAAGTACAAGAATCTATTCTAGGTAGTTCGAAAACTCCCCAAAGATTCTTCACCCGTGTGATAATGCTGACTGGCCTCGCTCAGGCCTCGTTCTGCTACAGACTAAACTCACTTCAGAAGTGGCGACTCCGATCCTCTCGGACTCGTACATGACGGACAGGGACCTGCTGGTGCTGGCGGCAGTGGCTTCGGCCCTGCGCATGACCTCCTGCCGCAGGTACTGCTGCCGATCCGCGGCTGTGTGGGTCCCGTCAGAGAGGTCGCGGGGTTCTTTCCAAGGGTCAGGCGGGGTGCCCTCATCTTCCGCGTCGTCGTCGAACGGGTTATAGCTTTTGGGGTAGGCCGACATGGTGCTCGAGCTCGTGTTGGTATGGACAGGAAAAGATGCGTGGCCAAATCTAGAAACCACCCAGCCAGACCCGCAGGGGCCTCAGTCGTCCTCCCGCCGGCCTCGGGAAACTCCCACCCCACTGCAACTCCCAGGCCCAGACGCCCACCATTCAGCAGCTTGCCTGGTCGGTCGACCCCTGAGTCTCCGCGCGAGCTTCTTCCGCCCGCAAAGGTCTGGAAGCCCCGCCCCCGGGACAGACCATCGTGCCGGGAAGATAGGGTGAGGCGCTGCGTTGAGCGCGGCCGTAAACTGGCTCTCGGCTTTTTTTCTCCCTCCAGTTGTGGAACGTTCCCGAGGCCACGCCCACACAGTGTCCTCAACAGTGAAGTCACGTGGCGAGGCAAGCCGCACGCATCTGCGCCTGCGCCAGCCCTTGCTAGTCCAGTGTGGGAAGCGGGCTGCCGCGCCGCGGCGCGCCCGATGATGGCGGCGGCGGCGGCCCAGGGAGGCGGCGGCGGCTCTGGCGCAGGGTCCAGTGTCTCTCGGGGGTTCTATTTCAACACAGTCCTGTCACTGGCCCGCTCCCTGGCTGTGCAGAGACCGGCATCCTTGGAAAAGGTAGCCTTAGCCGGCCGAGGAGCCACTTGACAGCAGGAAGGGCTTGGGGGCAGCTCACTGGGAGGCAGTGGTGAGGGTCCACGGGGGCCGTGTGTGGGGATCCCGAGCTTCCTGTGGCAGGAATGGGGCTCATTACCTGTGGGGTGTGGGGAGCTAGCTGCATGGGGAGGCCGGTGGGTGGAGGGGGCTGGTGAAGAGGGCTTTGGGTGAGGGGCCTTGGGGAAGGAGTAGCTAGGGCACGCAGGGACGCTGCGTGGTGGGTTGGTGGGTGAAGGAGGGACGTTCCAGAGTTCTAGCCGAAGGGCACCTTGTGACATTGCTGGAGCGGGGGCGACAGTGAGGAGCTGAGGGAAGAGCCGCGGACCAGTGTCAAAACGGGCCCTGCTCCATACCACTCTTGCTTTTTATTCCGTGACCTTGGGGAGGCAACTGTCTTTTAAAATGGGGTTCGTTTTACTTGCTTTGCTCTCTTCAGGGGGTTGTCTTGAAATAGAGTATCTGAAAGTGCTTTCTGGAAAAAAAAAAAATCTGCTGCGCGTTGTTTTTCTGTGAGACTGGAAGGGGGGCGGTAGACCGAATAAAAGATTATGTATTTGAAGAAGGGACAGGCAGGGAAAGGTTAATGCGCTGTCAGCGGGCAGAGAATTGAACTTCAGAATTGCTTCAGAGGAAATGAAGGTGCCAGAAGGATTCTTATCTTGGGGGAAAGATAAAATGCAATTCAAAGGTGTGCCTGGTATCGTGGGAAGAAATAGATTTTAAAGTCAGACCTAAGTGTGGTTCTTGTACTTTCATTTACTTTGTGTGGTCTTGGACAAGTTACTTTACCTGTCAGCGCCTCTGTTTCCTTATCTGTGGTGTGAAGTGGTTGGTGAGGATTAAATGAGTTCAAGCATAAAGCTTTCCCACAGACATAGGCACAGATTAGGTGAGCTGCAAATGTCAACTTTCTTTCCCCACCAGGGGGTGATGAGACTCATTGCAGTATCTCGATGTTCAGCATTATTTTTATAAAGGAATTATTTTTGTAAAGAGCTTCTGGCAGGTGGAGAAAGAACATTTTTTGACAGTGGGAGAGCAGTGGTGACCTGCCTGCTACAGCTGGGAGTTGTTTTGCAGCTCTGTTGAGGGATGATTCTATAAGGATGTTTTAAACACTTTGGAAGAGTGATCTAGTCCTTGGCTTTAGGTTCTCAAACTTGACTTTATTCACTCACCTTCAGGGCCAGCAGATTCTGGGAGACTGATGTCAATCTGATCTCTAAAGGAGGAATGCAAAAGAAGGGAAAGAATATCAATTATATATATAGGGCCACCTGAATTTAAATCCTGTGTCATTTGCTTATGTTAGTGTCATGCTGTGCAGGATAGTTACCCAATCAGACCCTCTGCATTTTTTCCCCCTTGCTGATATTCTTTTATGGCAGTAAACATTAGTCACCAGTACAACTGATAACATGTGAGTGGTCTTGGGGACCATGAACAACTTTTAAGAGGAAGCTTCTATAGGTGGCTGATCCAGTTAGATACATGTGAAATCCTTATCCTTATTTAGGAACTTGAGATTTGATTATACAAGGGATTATTGTTGATGCTAGGTCTCTGGTATGTCTGCTCACTACATTCTCTTACTTTACAATTGATAAAATACCCTTAGCATTCCTAAGGAACAGATTCGGGAGTTTTATGAGTAAAAGAATTTCTGAGTAGCCACCTGGGATACTAAAGATGGAGGCTCTCCATTTATAGGGGGGAGTATTGACAATTGGTCTCTTTTGTGCTTTTTTTCTTAAAGATTTATTTATTTATGTATCCAAAACTGGGATGTATACCAGAGGTGAGGGGGTGGTGGTGATTGGATTTACCAGAAACAGGGTGAAGAATGGAAGAGGTGGATACACTGAAATACACTGCTAAGGGGTGGGGGGGGTAGGGGGTGAGACTGGAGAGGTCTGCTGCTCCATGTGGGTCAGCTTCCTGGCCAGGGATTGAACTCAGGCCCTAGTGGTGATGACACTGAGACTTAACCCTTATAATCCCTATAATCCCTAGACTTCCAGGGACGCCCCCGCTCATTTATGTTTCTATTTTTCTTCTTTTTTTTTTTCCCAAAGAGAAGGAAGGAGACTGAGTGGGATTTGGTCCAAAAAAGATTGACCTGAGGAAAGCCAAGTTTTCAGAACTAGGCTTCACATGTGAGTTCTAGACATTGGTAACTCAGGCAGCCCAGTGCTTTTAGTGACATTGAAACAACTTAACAACATAATTTCTGCTATTTTTGACTCTCTACATGCCACATTTGTCAATTCATTTTGTTACTCTGATGCAGGCTATGAAACCAGTGAAGTTTACTTTTTCCTAATTCACTCTTTCATTCAGAAAACACTTGCTGAACACCACTCTTAAATAGTATGTGCTAGGGCAAGTAAATAAACAGTCCTAATTTGGCTACTAAGGTGACCAACAGACTTTGAATGTCCCCCATCTATTCTTGTATTCCAGATGTGATGACTACACTCTTGCCATGGTCAGAGAGCTAAATCCAAGACCCTTGGGTGTCTATTTTCTGTTCCCTATATGAACATTGACCTTTTCCTGCTAGGCTGCTCCTAAAACTGGCATCCTGTCCCTGAGACTCACCTCATTCTGAGGACATCTTTTGTGAGGCCCTCTAGATTACATTCCACTGAGATGAGAGGACAAAAAATGGATAAGAACAGAGCCTTGTGTATAGTGGACTTTTCATGCAGTTAATTTCCATACGCTGATTTCTGTCTGCTAATTTTGCTCTATTTTTCTGGTTCACACCTGTCTTCAGAATGTTGCTGTGTTTCCTTGTCAGGCTTTCTCCTGGTACTGATTGGTTATAGTTTCTCTGTATCCAGGAAATTATGTGACCTGTTTCTGCCTTTCATCATCTCACCTTTGCCATACTAATGGGCCCTTAACTCTGGGACATTGAATGTTCTGGGCCGAGCTACAAAGTAGATAGCATTCCTTGCCCTATTCCTCTTTTGACCTTCAGGAGGCTTTTCAGAGTCCTTTCCCGTGTCCTAAAATGTCCTCTCTCTTTTCTGCCTTTAGAATGCTAGAATCTCCTCAGGTGTCTTACCTATCAATCTGATGTTTAAATGACATTGTAGCATTAAGGACAGGCAGGGCCCCTCCTCTCCCTCCCCTGGTGGGCATTTTGTACTCCAGATGATGAGCTTGTTAACTGTAACTGGAGAGCCCAACTCTATTAGAGTAGTTTGCCATGGAGGAAGAGTTGATGTTGGCATTTTTTTTTTTTCCAGTGTCATAAAGCTTGAAAGTTTCTCATCCTCCTTCCCTTTCCTTTGTGAAGCCATGTTAAAAACAAACATCCATAGATTGAGAAGAGAGAAAATGGGCACCAGCAAAGGGTAGTCTTGTAGCTAGAATCATTGTTAATAAAATGAACTAAAAAATATTGTAACGAGAAATTGGAAGAAGAAAAAGTATTTAGCCATAGTCATGGCCACATTTAGCTGTATGAGTTTCTTCAGGCTGCCATTCTGAATACCACGGCAGTTTACACAACAGAAATTTATCCTCTTAATCCTGGAGATTTGAAATCCAAAATGAAGGTGTTGGCAGTGTTCATTTCCCTTTTTGGCTTGTAGATGGCTTTCTTCCACTGCCTCTATATAGTCTTCTCCTTGTGTCAGTGTCCTAACCTTTTCTTATAAGAACACCAGTCAGATTGATATGACTAGCATTACTTAAATACCTGGTTTTAACTTAAATACTTCTTTAAAGAGTCTATGTTGAAATATAGGCACATTCCAAGGCATCCAGGGTGTTAGGACATCAATACATGGATAGGGGAGGGGGGATACATCTGTAAATAAGATTGACCCCATTTTCCTTTATTAACCTTTAATAGTCTTGTTAGCCCTAAATAGCTATATTTACTTTATGCTTTAAAAAAAACATATTTGTTATTTTACTGGATGCATGTCATTTTTTTGTATTGAGAGAATATAGTTTACATAAGTATTTCTCTGTTTTGGTTTTCCCATGTTTGTATACTTCACACTTAGTTGTCTTCTGAATTAGATCTTTGTGTTATCAAGATGGATCTTAATGTTTACTGTTCAGTTGTTTTTAAAGGACTGTAGTACAGTTGTGGTAGCATCTATAGGATGCCCTTGTGCATTTTCATCTCTCACTGGTGTTGGATTTTATTTTTTTCCTGCTAATTTAGTAAGCATGAAAGGCTACTTTAATTTTTTGTCCCCAAGGTAATGATTAATTTGAGCATGGTTGGCTATGTTAGATTATGAGTTAAACAAAAACTACCAGAAGACAAAAGTTCTTGGATGGTGTGATATTGCTGTTAATGTGTTCCTATTTTCTGCTTTGTGGAAGTGTGAATATACTGAGGGCTCTTCCTTTGTAGTCCTGTTGCTTAATACTGACCCCTAGTGTTGCTTGCTCTGGGTAGCTTATTTTCAGTTGCTGAGTTTGGGAGATGAACACACAGTCCTGAGCCTCAGCTAATTTACAGATTAGTAGCAGCCCTGTAGGGCTGGCCAGTTGTCTGTGAAAGGAGCCAGTGATGGATTGATTGGCTTCTGCTGGGGAGACAGGGA